GCCATGGTGCCGCTGCCATGCGGTGCTGTGTGTGTGCGCGGTGCGTGCTGGCGTGCAGTGCGTGCGGTGCGCGCTGCTGCCTGGCGGTGCGTGCTGCGCGCCATGGTGCTGCTGCCGTGCGGTGCCGGGCGTGTGCATGGTGCGTGCTGCCGTGCGGTGCGTGCGGTGTGCGCTGTGCCTGGCGATGCGTGCTATCGGCGGTGCATGCTGCAGTGCTGCCAGGCGGTGCCCACTGTTGTGTGGCCTGTTGTGCGGGCTGCTGCCTATGACTGCGCCGCGGTGCCTTGCCGGATGGTGTGACCATAACAGCATCAGACACATAACAATATGATATGATATGCCCAATTCGATCCTTGGCTCTGCGGTCACAACCATCTGTCTGTCAGATGTGCAGGTAAGTCCCCTCCCCCTCTCTCCATCAGTTGTGTGGCCTTGCTATCTCTCTCTGCCACTTGCTGGCTCTCTCATCCCCATTTCCTACCTTTTTTTCTTTCCAAATCTCCCATTTCTGTCTCTATCAAATCTTGGTCTTCTCAGTTCTATTCTATTTATTTCTTATTTTTGCTTTTGAACTTATATATGCCAACATACATTATAAACTAAGGATATTATTTTATTATTTTGAAATGAATAGTTTACCGGTTTAACCATTTGGGTTGATGGCTTTTCTACCAAAGTCGATAGTTATTTGCATATTTCCAGGTTTGGAGTATGGACCTATCTTCTACTCTGGGTGATAGGTCAAATGGTTCAACCAGCCAGGTCAATAAGGGGTCACAAACATTGGTCTCGACCCTTGCTATCATGTTTGAACTCTTAAACATTAGTACAATAAATTTAAGACAGGATTAATATACTCCATACCATGAGGAGGAGCTCCCATGTCCAAAGCCTCAAGAAGATACCCAAATTTTTCTTCAGCCTGCACAGAAAACACCATCTACCTTATTTGTTAAAATCTCTAAAAATTGTCTTCTCAAAAGATAGCATCTTCAATCCCATGATCATAAGTCTCATCAAAGTAAAAAACAACTCGACTGAAACATTATCAAATAAATAGGGAAATTATCAATAAATAATAAATAAATAAATAAATAGGGATTCACAAAAAACAACACAATTTCAAAAAACACAGCCCTGAACAATTGGTATTAAAGTTTTAACCATAAAACACATCCAATTATATTTAAATAATGTGGAAAGAAACAAACCACTTGTGTTCACATAGTGAGAAAAGATGTTACTCATTAATACCCAGCACTTTAAAAGGTGTACCACCTAGGATCACAGAGTAGGCAGCCTAGGCCCATTTTCTTAGGTGAACGTGGACCTCACTTGAACCTAGCAATGCCTCACCTGGTTGTTGTCATGTTTTGATGAACTAACCTTGAATTTGATGCTGAATGGGTAATTTATTATATGGTATTGTATCTATGAAGTTTTAGAGTTTAAACAGTTTAGTCGTTTAGCCTATGTAGGAATTTTTTTGATAATTGAAAGAAATTTATTAATCAGCAATGATAAATAGTACAATGTCCCCAAGGAGAGCACAAGATGCAACCTCTCCAAGCTAGTTAAGTACAACTTCCAATGTACTAGAACAAGTTATAATGTAGCACAAAAAAGATCCTCCCTGGAAACCCCCTGTTTGGCCAAAGAATCAGCCATAGTTTAGCTGACCTGCTTACCCATTTTACCTCAACTCTCATATTACTGGTTAACCACTTTACTTTTTTGATGAGGTCTTTGTAGCACCAAATGGTAGCATCTGGGTTTAGAAGCCACCTTGTTACCACCTGAGAGTCCCCTTCAACTAGGAGATGTTCCACCCCAAGCTGGTTAGCGATTTGAATTCCTTGTACAGCAGCTAGTATTTCTGCCCTTGTAGAGTCCCCCACTCCCACCAGTCCTGAGAATAAGGAGATGATGTTGCTATCATTATTCCTCAGGACACCCCCTATACCTGAAGGCCCAGGGTTACCTTGGTTGTTCCCATCGAAATTTAACTTGATGACACCTTCTAAAGGTGGATCCCATTCTAACAAACTTCTATTCTTCTTTGTATAAGTATTAGCTATTACTAACCAAATCCTCCACAGGTCATCAAAAGAGAAATCAGCAAATATATCCAAGGTTTTCAGCCAATGTAATGCTCTTGTTAGAATACAGTCCTTCACTTCATCCAAGCTTCTTTCCTTCTCTAAGAAGACTCTTGCATTCCTTTCCTCCCAGAGAGTCCATAAGGTGGCTACTCTGATACATTTCCACATGAACTTGCCTCTTCTAGTGTGCCATGCAAAAATAGATGGGTTAAATAACAAACTCACACAGATGGCAGAGACCACCTACCTCCAAATAAACTAAAGCTCCAAATCCATAAGGCTGTAGCAAAGGAGCAGGAGATCAGCAAATGGAAACAGTCTTCATTCTGGGCCTTACACAAGGAACACCAGTTCGGGGAAAGACAAAGAAAGGGTCTCTTTTTCTGCAAGTTTTCCAAAGTATTGATCTTCCCATAGTAGACTTCCCAACAGAATACAACAATTTTTAGAGGAATAGGTCGCACCCAAACTTCTTTAAAAGGGAACACTCGAGAATTGGGGTTGGAACTGAGGGATTTTAGAAAAGAAGCACAAGTAAAGGTACCTTTTGGAAGAGGAGTCCAAACTCTTTGATCAGAAGATGTGGGGTCCAAACAAACTGACTCAAGTAAATGAAGTAGCTCAGTGACACAAATCAACTCACCATCCCTTAATCCCCTACGAAATCCAAAGTCCCAGTTTAAAGACATGGGAATAAACACGATGCTTCTAACAAGTTAAGCTAATAGGTTTTTTTAACTATTTATTTTGACCTCCCCCTTCTTCAAAAGTGGAACTTCATTCATTCAGGCATGTACCTTGCCTTGCACCATGCACCTCAGGTTCTAGAACCCATTGTCCTTAAGTTGAGTTTCTTGCCTATAAAACAGTCTTATACAGGACAGAATGAGGGAATATGACTGCTGCCACTGGTCCTAAGGTGGAATAAGGCAGATAATAAATGTTAATAACACAACCACTAGCAAATGTAACTTAAAGAAACAGATAAGTGCCCTAATAGAATGAATCTAGGGCTCATGGCCAGGTTGATCAATGAAGATTGCTGCCACTAAACTCCAGATTACCATCACAGGATCCCAGTTTGGGCCTGCAGTAGGACCTCAAGGTTGGTTAATAGTTGGGCTCTAGTAAAGTCTATATCCAGCTACCCATACAATGTAATGTTTAATATCATGGATCCCAGTAGGATCTTCAAACGATTTCACATCTTGCAAGACAGTATAATCCTTTATACTGAAAAAAGAGTAACCTCTAGATATTATTATTTGCTTTCAACGGTAGGTTGAATGTAAAAACAAGAGAGATACCATCAAACAACTATTCTATCCATGAGACCTTGGGAGAGGGTGATTAAGATATGAAACTGATGTACTAGAAAGCCTATAACCTATTTGAGTTTTTATTTTTATCAATAACAAATTCTCATTATATTAATGGAGAATATAATTACAGCACTCCGGAGAGAGATAAAATGACTTAACTCTCCCCAAGAGAACAATAAAAAGACTTACAATACAGCCCAAAATATTTGATCCCTTCCCACCCCCTGCTTTGCCAAAGTATCTGCAAATGCATTTTCTATTCCCTTCACCCACTGAAACTGGATTTCCAGCCCCCTAGCTAGCCATTTAATCTCCCTTCTCTCATTAGCAAATTTCCAAAGTCCACTATCCTTCTGTAACCAGCTTTGAATCCCCTTCAACAACTAGTTTTTGTATATTCCTATAACCTATTTGAGTTCATGCTATGGAAATTGACCATAGGAGTGATTTGCTACAAGTTGAAGGGGCTAGAAGAGCAAGGGGTAAACCAAAAAGTACATGGGTAAAAGTAGTAAGAAATTTAAGCAGACAATCATTTAACAATGGATATGGCATTAAACAGAATGGATTGGTGAAACAAGATAAGGCTTTGATGATTGATAGATTAATGGAGAAATTTTAGGGAACAGAGAGAGGATCCCTAGTTGGTATTAACTAATTAATTAAAAAACGAAAATATATGACAAGGTCTCTAGAAACGTCATGTGGGGACTATGGAGTTTTGTGAAAGAAAAGGACTTCAAGCATATTGATTTCATTAAGATATGTATGGGGGACAGTAATAAGTGTGAGAACTCCCATTGGTGTGATAAGAGAGTTTTCAATCACAATGAGTTCTTACCGAGGGTTAGCACTCACTCTTTCTTTTTCTTTTTTGCATTTGTTATAAATGAACTAACTAGACATTTATAAGAGGAGATACAATGGTGTATGTTGTTTTATGCAAATGTAGTATTGATTAATGAAACTAAAAATAGGTTGAATGCAAAGTTAAAATGATGGAAAGATGCTTTAAAATTAAAAAGTTTTAAGATTAAGTTGGACTAAGACAAATATATGTATTGCAATTTTTTAAAAATAGTAGTAACAATGAAGGTACAATTAAGAAAGATGATCAGGAGATGTTTGTTGTCTTTGCTTGCGCTGTGTTGAGACAATTACACACCTATTATTATCTTGTCCTTTTGCTTCTTTTGTTTGGAATTTGTTTTCCTCTCTTTGGTTGCAGGTGGACCCCTCCTTTGGATGTGGCAAGCCTTTTTGAACCAAGTTTTTTCAGACTACCAAAGAGAAGGGGCAGGGGATGTGGAGAGCCACAAGAGGAATAATAGAATCTTCCAAGGGTTAGAGAGATCTAAGGAGAAATTCATTGACTGCATACTTATTAGGGTCATACATTGGCTGAAATCAACTGAATCATTCAAAGATTATTCAGTTGAGGACATTTTTAGATGATGGTTGATAGTTCAAGTTCTTCAAGTACAAAGAACGTGGTGGTTCAGGCTCAATGGTCATCCACAGCACTACAAAGGATAGAATTGAACTTTGATGGAAGCTCTTTGGGCAACCCAAGGCCCTCTGGAGTTGGGGGAGCATTCAGAGATGGGGAGGGCAGGCTAATAGTATTATACTCTGGCCCAATAGGAGTGGGAGATTCATTAAGAGCTGAGATTATGGCCTTTCTTCAAGGTTTGAAGCTGGCCAAGCAATGGGGAATTCAAAATTTTGAGGTGTAGGGAGACTCCAAAACTGTTCAAAGGATGGCTGCAACAAGAGATATTTTTTGCTTAGCAAGGGAAGCCACAGTACTTTTCAATTGGACAAAGTGGTCAGCCAATGGTTTCGGTGATACTTTGGCAAAGCAGGACCCTTGGGGGGAACCTTTTCTTTGGGCTGTGTTGTAAACCTTGAGATACAATATGTGGTCAACACTCATGCTGTGAGTGGTTGACATTGTATGCTTTTATATATTGTTTTATTAAAAGTTACCGTTTCCAATCGAGAAAAAAAAAAAAAAAAAGATGATCAGGGTACAAAAACCCTTTCTCTGTCCCCAAATTGACGTATACTCTGTAAAGCCAATAGGGAGAGTTATTATCACCTACCGATCTCTTGTCCTTTTGTTGCAGGCATTTAGGATTGGCTTTTTTCTTTGTTTGGATGCAAATAGAACTTGCTGACGGAGGTAAACAGGCTTTTTGATCCAGCTACCTTTCTGTAGCCTATAAGAAGGGGCAGAATCATGTGGAGGTGTACAATGGCAGCTTTGATCTGGTCTATCTGGGAAGAGAAGAATGCTAGATTTTTTTTTTTTTTTTGGATTAGGAAAGAAATCAGATCGCTTTGAAGGGCAGTTCTGTTTGGGCACCTCCCCAAGAATATATTAAATTAAATTTTGATGGTGCAGCCAATTCAACACAGGCACTTTTGGACAAGTCAGAGTTATTGAAGGAGACTCCAAACTAGTAGTGGAATGGTTAAAGAAATCGGATTCTGTAAATTGGAACAGGGATGAGATAAATGTTGAGATTGGGCTGATAACACTTGCTTTTTGTTTATAGAGTTTAGTTTAGAGTTATTGGGCCCAAGGCCCATTAGTTTATGTTTTGTTAAGAGTGCTTTCTTATGTTTTTTAGTAGTAGCCAACTTACTAAGGGTATACTTGTTATTGTATTCAGATTTTTTTATGAGTATATAAGATAATGAAAGGGGCAGCCAGATCTGATTTTGGCTTTCTCCCATTCTTTTCAATTTCTCTCTTCTTTTCTCTGCAGAATCTTCTTCTCTCTCTATTTTCTATCACAGGTTTCAAATCAGATTGGAGTTCTGCACTTTCTACTATAAAGAAGCTTAAATGGCTAACTAACAGAATGACCTCGAGGATTCAATGGGTTAGAAGATTGGCTAATATTATTGCAGGTACTCTAGCCAAGCAAGGGATAAATATGGATTATTTGTACTGGGCTATTTGTAATTTGATTTGTGGTCTAAATGCTTTAAATATGTGACAGGTTGCATCCCACTCCTCTCCTTGGGATGCTTGTACTGCATCTATATATTGCTATCTTTCTAATAAAATTTTAAAGTTATTTATCAGAAAAAAAAAAGAAACACATCAAGAGATAACCCAAAGTAACCACAATTGGTACCTTGGATCAATAATCCATAACAAGAAAAATTAAAGTGGTTGTTGCCCATAGAATTAGAACATCAAGAATTGAATCAAAAGTAGAAAACTTAAGAGAAGGTTGTAAGAGGGGACTATCAAAGTTAACAGTCCAACTTTCCAGTAGTAGCTGCAGATTCAATTTTTCTCAATCCAACCATTGGATTGAACTGAATTTTGGATATTGAAGTTCAAGGAATGCAAAAGAGACCATTAAATATCAGGCTGATCAGACAAATGGATGGTCTTCATCAAACTGCCTTTCAATTTCTGGACATTGAGAATTGTCAACAATGGTCAGTAGTCAAAGTCGAAGTTTGACCACATAACCTTACCTGCTGAGTTATCCATGAATCTAGTAACTTCTGTTAAAGTTTTATTTATTTTAGTTTAGTAGTTAGTGAGTTCAAATTAAACTTTTAGTTGTGAGGAAAACGTGTATTGTAGGGAATAAAGCTTCAGTATCCATATATCGCATGAAGCAAGTAAAAAACATATTAGTATATATTTAATGTGATGGAAAATGACAAATCTGTAGCAATCATTAAAGAAGTACTTAACCAGAGTACAAAGAGCTGAAAGGCCTCACCTGTTTAGGGGTGATACCAACCATTTCGAAGACCTTTTCTTGGAGCTCACGCTTATGTATTCTAAGACTCCCTCCACCAATCTGATAATGTCACAGGAACATGACAAAGCACATACAACTTAAAAATTTTCTATTGTCAAGATGAGCTTTTAAGAGCAGCTTGGGTATCAGGTTTTGAGCAAAACATTGACAGAGATACAGATAAATACCTCTACTCCATTGTAGACCATGTCATAAGCCAAAGCACGGGCAGTAGAAAGGTCTTGCAGGTCATCAGGGTTTGGTGCAGTGAAAGGATGGTGCAAGGCCTGCATCAATTACAAATCATATCATGAGCCGAACCAGGAGCATCAATTAGGTCTTTCATCCCAAGAATCCATGTAAACACATAAATGTGAAAATTCATGGCAGCAGTCATCATTCCAAAAAAGTAATAAAATTGCTTGATTTGGAGCTACTTTCCATTCTTGTTTTTGGCGAGACACCAGCTGAAGATAACCATCCTAAGAAAAACTAAGTAGTTCTTTTCCCATAAACCAATGAGGAATCCAGTCATTTTAACACAGTATTTCTGAATTCTGATGATGAGGAAAGATAAAAAAAAAGAAAGAAAAAGGATAGCATCATTTTGTTCAGTGGTATTAGTACGACTCATTTTCCAGAAGCCCTGCAATGGTGGAAGTCAATGGTATTGCACATCAAATAGATTATTTTAACTTCATGAGGAAATAAATTGATCAAAATAAATACTTCATGAGGAAATAATTTAGCAAGACAGTCTGTGGCATGGTCCATATTGAATGCCTAAAATAGTAAGAACCAAATTCATCAACCAGGCATTGTGAAAATTTCTGAATCAGGGACTACATTTGTCCACAAAAGGTGAGATTTAAAATGAATTTGGCTAAACTTCCAGAAAAGGGAACTGAAAAACGCACCTCAAGCCTCTGCTCAGTGCTGTTCCACTCAAACATTGGAAAATCGGTTACCCACAGAATTGAATGTGCTGACTAGACATCACATATCAAACAACCAACTCATATTAGAGAGAGAGAGAGAAAGAATGTGAATCAAATGAATCTCAATTACAAAGGTCATCTAGCAACTTACATGGTCAATCAACCCCAGCTCATGGCCCAAGAAAGTTCTAAGCCGGTCAAGGGTCTTATTAACTGATGTGTGATGGCCAACAGCAAACAAGATAAGATCACCTGATCTCGCAGAGCATTGCCTCAGCAGTTCCTCTCTATTTTTGGAATCTAAACTCGATGCCAAAGCAGGAATCCCCTCAATCTCTCCTAAATGAGATTTGAACATGTTAAAGTGTGGAAGTCACATTCATAAAAAGAGAAAAAGAAGAGGATATCTCTTTTACCATCATCCAAGACCCTAAGGAAGGGCAAACCCTTTGCTCCTGATTTGATTGCTTCATTGTAGATTTCACCTTTCTTGAGAGCAGTGTTTGAAAATCTTTTTGCGCCCGAAGGAACACACAGTGCCTTGATAATACCACCACTTGCTAAGCTATCAGCAAAAACCTTGAAGGTGGAATCTGAGAAAATAACAGAGACCTGCATTTTCGTATTAACAAAAAATTTTGAGGAACATGTATCCAAAAGGAATGTACTTAAGAACACTAAATTCATTATTTCCTAGTGCTTGTTTAGCCATAAAGCAGTGGCAAGGTCCTAGAGGTGGCAACACTATACAGCCACACCACATGGTAAACCTCCTTTTGCACATCATGCTCCAGTTCAACCACCCTGCTAGTATTCTATGGTTAACATCCTCTTTAATTTCTCCATCTTCATGGATGATTGAGGTAGATGCAATCCAGCCACACCCCATAGTTAGCCTCCCTCTTTCACCCATGGCAGAAATATCTTTTTCCTTAGATGCCAGACCTCCATCAGGGTGGTAGAACATATCTTTTAGCCATCATGACAATACCTATGCTAATCCCCCAATCTTTTTACTTGCTATTCATAGTTTGGTTTGTCTATAGTTTGTTGTCACCCAAGTGTTTAATAATACTTAAGAATTTCTGGAGTTCCATTGCGAGTTTCCTAGTATTCTTTAAAGGTGGCCACTTCTAACCCAACCCATCCAGTTACACCTCACCCAAACCCACCAGTTTACTTTGCAGGTTGGAAATGGATCGAATCATCCATTGGGAAGATTTAAATGGATTGGACTAGGTAATGTCAATCACACTAACTCAGTTTATAGACATTTTTTTCTACTGGATAGTGGTTAATGAGCTTGACTGATGGAATTATTACAATAAACAAGAAATGAAATCAGAAGATTTATTTGGTTTCAGAAATAAGAAACTATAAATACTGTGGGTTCAAAGATCAGCCAACAGTTTCGCTGATGGGTTAGCAAAACAAAGGATGACTGGTCAGCAGCTGTTTTGGCCTTTTGGGCTCAATTTTAACAAGTTCATTTTGGGAGAGATGGCAGGGGCTATGCTCAACATTTCTATTTGAATTTGTAATCTCACAACCTCATGTTGTACTTGACTTTTCTTATTTAACCTGTTTTTTGTTGCCAATAATAAAAGAATTATTCCTTGTACAGATGTGGTGGTCCCAATCAAAATAAACGAAATTGAATGTATAAGCATTACTTTTTACTGTAGAAAGAGGTCTATGGAATGGATGGCCACGATTATAGTATCAATTTAATCTGACTTTGGATAAGGATCTATGATGATGTTGTTTATGACTAGATTATAATGCGGCATGCGGCATGTCACATTTAGATCTATAGAAGCCACCGAACTTACATACAACAGGCCTGAGCATGTTGGCAAGTTCCTTAGGGAATGATTTTCAAAAATCTTGATTAACGAGGAGATGTGCCAACCACTGGCGGTATTCTACTGCAACTGAACAACAACCGGCAGTTTTCTGATAAGGAAAAGATGATGTGACAATTAGTAGCAATCAGATAAAAAACCTTCAAGTTTGATTCAACTTTGTTTAACCAAGATGGCATACTAGTGGTGACTGAGAGAGGAATAGGTGCTTGGTCGAGAATCTCACTGACTGTAGAGGAGACAACATGGATGGGAGACTTTCTTTGAGAGGCGATAAAAGATCAAAAACGGATCGTAAAGGAACATAAGCACACTCGCAGAGGGAAGGTGTTACTCATTCAACTAAATGAAAATAGATGGGGAAGATCCTTGTTACATTCTTTGGTAGCCACCTCTTCTCCTTTCCCAGTCAAGGAAATTTGGTACTCTCCCATTCCCCCTAAAGTCGGTATTTTCTGTTGGGAAGTGTTTCGTAGTTGCATTAATACCTATGATCGATTTCAAAGAAAAAGACCAAATTGGTGTTTGTCCCCTAACTGGTGTGTCCTGTGTAAGTTGAATGGTGAAACTGCACTTCATCTTCTAATATTTTGCCCTTTTGTTAGCTTTATTTGGAATTGGTTTGTTGCCCTCTTTGGTTGCAGGTGGTCTTCTCCTGACAGGCTGGATGGCTTGTTTAGCCCTACTAGCATTAGTTGCACTAAAAGGAAAGGTAGGATCCTGTGGAGGTGTACTAGAGCAGCACTATTGTGGACTGTTTGGGAGGAGAGAAATGCAAGAATATTTGAAAGAGAAAAAGCAAGGAAGCCTTGATTGAAACAATAATATTGAAAGTGGCATACTCAGCAAAAAACATGGAGTTATTGCTGCCTCTTCATCTACAAGACAGAAATCTGTTGAGACATGGTCTCCCCCATTAGATGGCTGGACGAAGCTGAACTTGGATGGGAGTTGTGTGGGTAATCCGGGTCCCTCAGGCATGGGGGGCCATTAGAGATGTTGATGGAAACATCATTGCTCTATTCTCCGGTCCTGTGGGACAGGGTGATGTGGCAAGATCAGAGTTTCTGGCTGCAGTATATGGGGTTGAAAAGGCAAAAGAGCTGGGTATTAGCAGACTGATCATCGAGGAAGACTTGAAAACTGTGATAAAATGGCTGCAGAAGGGAGGGGGTGACATGACAGTTGAGAAATGAACTCAGAAGATTTAAATGGTTCTCAAAGGACATGTCAATTCGTGTGAGATGGGTGAGGAGAATCGCCAACAGCTTGGCGGATAGATGCTAAGAAAGGGGAACAAAGAATACATCTGTTCTGGGCTCAGCTGGAAATTTTATTCATTGAGATAAAAGAACATTATGTACAAAACTTGCTACCTAACACCCTCTGTTTTTGTAAGGAAATTTGACTACATGGTGACTCCCAGTACAATTTTTCCTGTTAACCCCTTTCCTAGCAAGTGAGACCACTACAATATTTTCTGCTATACATGTAAGTCCATAGTAGCCCAAATTGGGCTCTACCCATTTAATTCAAAATTTTCTTGATCCTTCTCCAATGCACCAAATCTTCTACTCTTTTAAATTACATGTACATATATATCCCAAGGATATTTTCTTCCCCTAGGTAAAATCTATCCACATGAACAAAATTCTGAACTTTGGCCATTATAGACTACATTTTCTTTTAACTCAAATATAACTTTTGACATCAATCTGCAATTTTTTGGAATAGTAACTTTCTATATTTTTAACAAAAAAAAAAAAACTTTTCATATGCATCATATCTTTTATAATAAAATAAAAGTTAATCAGTTCATCTATGTAGTTAACTATAAGTAAAAAAGAAGCATGCCTAGTCAGTGTTATAAAAAAAGGTTGTATCATAGAAAATAATACTGCACATAATATATTTGCCCATTCCAAGTATTAGAATTAAATATAACAGCAAAAAAACATCTTAGGCATGGAAAATGCCTTGAGGTTTTTTTATTGGATTTACTCTTTGGGGATATCCGTATATACTATGCCATAGAATCTCTTGCATTATTTAGAATCAATCAGAAAGAGATATCCCAGCATACCAAATACAAGAAACAGCAATGAACTAGCCTACCATAGAAAACTTGCAACTGATATTATGAATGAAGCATAACAAGTTTGACATTACCCCAAAAGCATACAAGGTTAGAAAATGAGTGTGGAACTCTGAAGAAATTAGGGTTGTGTTCTACAGTAAATATAATAAATTCTAAATCCACCTTATTTGTCGAAGGATGACATTTTTGATAAGCAATCAAAAGCATTTCATATATAAATTCTAAAAGCATTTCATATATATATATATATATATATGTAGGGAGGGAAAAAGACCAGAGGTTAACACAAGATCCTTGTATTATATCCCGCTATACACCCAGTGTTCTGTAGTTTCCTTCATTCCAGATTGACCAACAAATGAAAAAGGGACCATGTAAATTGGCTTGAGTAGAAGGATCTTGTGCATATGTTTTGCAAATAGATCATATAATAAGCATGTTTTGCACAAGTAGAAAATCCATTAGAATCTTAACAGTAAATATATTAGATGCATCGAGGAAGAGGCTTTACATCTTTCAATTCAAGAGCAAAACGAAGATCTGGCTTGTCTGATCCATATCGACTCATTGCTTCAGCATAAGTAAGCCTAGGAAAAGGGATTGGAAGCTGGATACCTTTAATCTCTTGAAATATCTGAAATATATAAATTTTCAAATTAGGCCTCATTAAGTAGAAAAACCAAGGGATCTGCAAAGATCTGGCAAACATTAGACTGATGCAAATTTCAGAGGGAAAAAGTAAATGAAAGGTAATTACATGTCTTATCAAATCTTCATTAAGCCTTAGCATGTCTTCTATAGGAGTAAAAGCCAATTCCATATCTAGCTGTGTGAATTCAGGCTGTCTATCTGCTCTTAGATCTTCATCTCGGAAACATCTGCAGAAAGACAAAGCAAAAAATAATGAACTTTAGCACATACTTAATAGGGATTATGTGATCACAGCTCAAAAGAAATGATAATGTCATTCCTTCTGAAAACATGTGTTCTCTTTATTCAATTTGAAGTTAGAGCATTTCCCAAACTATGGTTGAAGGAAAGCAGAGAATATTTTTACTGGTTCATTCCTTCATGGTCATCCCACACAGAAAATCATTCTGCTACATGCAGTGATATAGCCAGAATCTAAAACAACATGTACTGGAGAGCTAAAGAGAAGCCTCCCATAACAAAAGATTACCTTGCTATCTGATAATACTTGTCAAACCCAGAGACCATCAACATTTGTTTATACAACTGTGGACTTTGGGGTAGAGCATAGAACATTCCTGGCTTCAAAACACATAAAAGTAGATCAGACCAGCAAGATACATATTTTTATGACTAAATTGACAAAATAACTACATAACCAAAGAGGAAGAGTTTACATCATTCAAATGTAAACCCTTCTTTGGTTAATAAATAGTTATTTTGTTAATTTGGTCATCAAAAAATATCCCTTAATAAAAGATCTCAGTTGAAATTTCAATAATTCAATTGTATACAGTTTCATGTGGATTAAGCATACATAAAAGAGCCATCCCCTAATGCTTGTCCCAGCTATCCAGAGTCTTGGAAGGAGTTGACTGGATAAAGACTTAACCTTCAGAATTTTATTGCAAGAAGTGGCCATTTTCAGACTCAAAGCCCATATTCTCACACTTATCAGCCTATGACTTCACCATTGCACCAAGTAATGGCCCTTCGATCAAGCATACATCTATGAATCAATATTATAGCAACCCTTCCACAAAGGAAGATGGGATCTTCCCGTGCTTGGGATGCTGATGCTGAAATGGAAATTTGGGGTTCTAATCCAATAAAGTAGACTGTTTATTCAAGTGTCAAGGATGAGGAGGCAGTGAAGAATTGCAATTGACATATGCATTGAGCATAAAAGCAAGGATTTTGATCACAAAGAATACATGAGATGAAAATATATGAAATGTAATCATGTTTTCCCTTTTTTATTGATAAATTATTTTAAATTTTATTATTGATAAATGATTTTAAATTTTATTAAGGCTGAAAGTATAATCATTACAAGCATCCCTTAGAGAGGCACGAGATGCTACCTCTCTATAAACAAAACAAAAAACATTGCAAGTGAGCCCAAAACAAAGACAGCCTATTCACCCCTTGCTTGGTTAGAGTATCCGCTAGCCTATTTACCAATCTCCTCAGCCATTGTATCCTAAGGTTCATATTCTTGGTGATCCATTTGAATTTTTTTATCTCACCCCTATATCACCATATTACAGACTCTGGATCCTTTAGCCAACCCACTACCAATTTTAAGTCCACTTCAATCACCACATTGGCTATATTCAATTCATTAGCAATCTGTACTCCCTGTAAAGCCACAAGCAGTTCTGCCTTGAGAGAATCCCCAAACCCCACTGGGCCAGAAAACAAGGCTATCAATTTACCTTCCATATCTCACAAAACCCCTCCTATACCAGCAGGTCCTGGATTACCCCTGCTACTCCCATCAAAATTCAACTTCACATAGCCTTCAGATGGAGCGGAGGTTACCATACAACACTTGCTCTTTCCTTTCTTGAAGAACTTCTTGCAACTACTTCCCAGTTCCTCCAAATATCATCAGGGGAAAACTGAGAAAACAGGTCCAAAGATTTGAACCAGTGGATCACCCTAATCAACACACAATCCCTTATCTCTTGCTTCTTTCCTTCTCAAAGAATATTCCCACATTTCTCCTCTTCCAGATTGTCCAAACCAAGGCTGCTCTAACACACCTCCACATTATTCTCCCTTCTTTTTTGGCCATGTACACATAGAAGGATCAAACAGCACGTTAGCCTTCATTGGTAAGGACCACCTGCACCCAAAAAGGAAACAAACCAATTCCAGACATCTGCAATAAAGAAACGGGATATTAGTAAATGAAAGCAACTCCCATTATCAAATATGTACGAAACACACCAGTTTGGAGAGAGACATAAATTGGGTCTCCTCTTCTGTAGCATTTCCAAAGTATTGATCTTTCCATGAACTACTTCCCAACAGAAAGCTCTTATTTTAGTGGAATGGGTTTGCACCAAAACTCTTTCAAGGGAAACAAAGGAGAAGGCAAAGAATTACAAAGAGACTTGAAAAAAGAAGCACATGAAAACAAACCCTTAGGGTGAGGGTCCCAAATATGCTTATCTGGATTAGCAAGGTCAAGACATGCATTTTGAAGTAATTGAAGCAAATCTAGACAACTCAATTCATCATCCCTTAACCCTCTACAAAAGCCAAAGTCTCGATTATAATCCACTGGGAGGAAAGGAGGAACAATGAAATTTGAAATACATTCATTTTTGCAAAAAGAAACTGAGTATGTGCGTGGGAAGAGATCCTTTAGAGGGTAAGAACCAACCCAAACATCCTCCCAAATTTTAATAAATCCCCTTGTTGGGTTGGGCCGATTTCTAGTTATTGGGCCCAGTTGTTTCGTTCTTATTTTAAGTTGTTAAGTTAGGAAGTTGTTAGGCCTTAGGCCCATTAGCTTATGTTTTTAAGTTGTGACTGTTCAGCTACTTTAGTAGCCACCCTACTAAGGGCATTCTTGTAATCTTTCATTCTTTTAAGTTAAGTATAAAATATAATGAGGGGTTGGCGACTAGAACTAATTAAATTCTGGTTAACATCCCACTCTTCCTTTCCTCTCTTTTCTTCTCTACTGCCGAAACTCTTCATCTTCTTTTTCTTTCTCTTCACAAGGAAATCATCCCGATTTACAAACAGTGATTTCTACTTGGTATTAGAGCAAGGCCGAAGGTTCCTTAAGCTGTTTACTCATGCAGCCCTAGATCGGCTGACTGCATGGTGATTTAAGAGGCTGATCAAAGATCTCAGGTAAGCCCAGTTTTTGGATTTCTTGGTGAATCTGTTTTGCCATGTAGCTGGTCTAGGGTTTCTCATCAAAATCAGGAAAAACTGGAGAAAGGGGGAGAGTCCTATTTCTGTTGGACTCTTCAATTTTGACCTAGGAAGTGGCGCCCTAATTTTTTAGGGTTCCTTGGAGTTTTCTGTAGAGGGTGGTACAAATCCTGCCTGATTTGGAGGTTTCTAGAGAGAGCGGCTGCCTCTTCTCTCTCCTCTCCCGTCCCGCAGAAAAGGAATCTTTTGTGGGAGGACCATCTAGGGCACCAGAAAGGTGCCGTTGGTTCCAAAAGTGTTTCATCTGATCTTCTTGCATATTACAGTAATTTTCTTTGCACCTTTTGAGAAGTATGGATGGTCACGGAGTTGAAAACAAGCTCGGGAATGAAATAGGACCAGTGGGAGGAGGTGTTAGAGACCTTTTCGAGGCTGGGACCATTACTACAGTTAAGTTGGATGGTTCGAATTACTTAGAATGGTCACAATCTACAAAGATGGCCATTGGTGCTCGTGGGATGTTAGGGTATATCACTGGTGAAGAAGTGTAACCCGAAACTAACAGCTCCCGGTGGGTACGGGAGAACTATATGATGATGAATTGGCTAGTAATTCCATGCTGCCCCATGTAAGTAAAAACTTTTTATGGGCAAATACAACTAAGGAAATATGGGATGGGGTTGCAGAAACCTATTCATAGAAGGAGAATGTTGCTAGGACTTATCAATTGAGAAATCAGATTATTGCTACAAGGCAAGGAGATAGACCTATTGCAGTTTACTTTTCAATCCTTAAAACCCTGTGGCAAGAGATTGACCATTTAGAGACATTTGCTTGGGAAACCACTAAGGATGCAGCTGCCTACCAGAAACACCAAGAGAAGTATAGGGTGTTTGAATTTCTTGCATGACCTTAATCCCGAGTATGATATTGCAAGACAACACATTCTTTCCTGGGACAGTGTTACCCTCTCCCAGGCATATGCCTTTGTGTCAAGGGAGGAGAGCAGGAGAGATGTGATGATGAAAAATTCTGGTTTTAATCAGTCAGCCATGGTTAGCGTTGTGAGACCTAAACAAGGTGGAGACCAGGGTGGCAATGAAATCAAGAAGGAAGACAGAAAGGATTTGATCTGTGACTACTGTAAGAAGCCTAAACACACAAGAGATACTTGCTGGAAGCTTCATCCACATCTTGTGCCGAATAGACTCAAAAATACGAAGGGAAATGCTCACATGGCAGTCACTGGTGACATTCCGGCCCCTCCTACTATAGCTGCTCTGGAGTTTGTTGCAGCTGCTGCAGTAAGGGCTGAACTTGAGAGGTATGGGCAGTTTCTAAACCAGCGGGATACAGCCAATTCTAGTTCAGCAATAGGCGGACAGCAAGGTACAGGTGGTTCTAGTGGAGTTCATTCTACTTCCTTTGCTCACATAGGTAATTCACATGCCACTGCAAATTATGTTTCTACTTCAGGTAAGGAGGGACCCCCTTGGATTATAGATTCTGGAGCCTCAGAACACATGACCCGTAGCTCCACTATTTTTTCCTTTTACCAGCTATGTTCTGGCAAAGACAAGGTCTCCACAGCTGATGGATCTCATGTTCCCATTGCTGGGAAGGGGTCTATCAAGCTTAGTGATTCCATTTCCCTTCCCTCGGTCCTTCATGTTCCCAGATTGAGCACTAATTTGTTATATGTTAGTAGTTTGATTAAGAACCTGAACTGTTCAGTAATTTTTTCTCCTGGTCATTGTATCTTGCAGGATTTGGATTCAAAGAGGACAATTGAGAGTGTTCGTGAAGTGAATGGATCTACCTCCTAGATGTGCTTCCTCCTCATCAGAGTCATCATGTCAGCAGGGATAGTGAGTCAGGGTCTGTGGGTCAGATTATGCTTTGGCATAATCGTTTGGGTCATTTGCCTTTTTCTTCTTTGAGTCTTTTGTTTCCAAAGATATTTGATTCTGTTAGTTTGTCAAGTCTAGAGTGTGAGGGTTGTCAACTTGGAAAGCATTGTAGACATTCCTTTAAAGCCAGTAATAAAAGGTTTTCTTCTTCTTTTGATGTTATTCATTCTGATGTGTGGGAACCTTATCATGTTCCTTCTATGGGTGGTTACCGATATTTTCTCTTATTTGTGGATGATTTCTCTCGATATTCTTGGGTTTACTTGATGAGATCCCGAGATGAGGTACCATCCTTGGTAAGGCAATTTCATCAGATGGTGCTAACACAGTTTGGAACATGAATAAAGGTGTTCGGATCTGACAATGCCAGGGAATATTTTGAAAAACACCTTGCTTCATATCTGTCAGAATATGGTGTTGTCCATCAGAGCAGTTGTTCCTACAATCCACAGCAGAATGGTGTTGCAAAAAGGAAGAACAGACACATGCTGAGAT